AGCACATACAAAAAATTACCCCGAAATTCTGCAGCCATGAAACCTTTTTGATGGGTTTGCCTTTGTCCATGTAGTCACAATTCAACATTGTTCGAGGCAGTAGCATCACACGATTTTGTCTCTATTGCAGTATTTCTCATTTCCTTCATAAGTCGAGTTTCCTATTTCTGAACCATTTGAACCAACGACAAAATTAACAACTCGATCACTAGCTAAGCTTTAGCATGCTTTGTCCCAATTCCTCCTCATATGCATTTAATTGCAGTACTTTTTGTACACGGGTTTGAAAAAATTGGACAGATCTCTCCTTTTTTAAATAATTCTAGGTTTAGAATTGGTTTTTTTTTTTTATCAATTTACTCCTTTTAGTTATAACCCCAATATCAAAATCCCTAAAATACCCTTTTGGGTTGCTCGATTAGGAGCTTGATGGAAATTATGCGGCAGCGGCGCCGCTGAATTCCTTGATTGGATCAAAATATAAGTTTAGGGATCAAATTAACTACGAATAATATATAGGGACTAAATCGACAGGAAAAAAAGTTTTTGGACTAAATTGGCCATTTTTGCAAAAATATTTTGTAATTACCAGCTGCTTGGGATAAAATGACTACTGTGTTTGGATGGGAGATTATATTTTGAAAAAATATTGTAACACTTTTTGTAACATGATATGTGTCAAATAAAAAGATGATTGAAAATATATTTATGATACAAGTAAATAATTTTTTGCAAATAAAATCATATCCAAGCAAACCTTCGTGCAGTAAGCTATTTATTTTTTCATTTTTTGCCCTCATAGGCAGGGTATGTTTCTTGTTTTATTTGGTAAGATTACATTGTGAGGTCAATTCTTGCTAAAACAAATTTGATAGGATAAACGCAAGCATAGACAACATTAGACTAAATTCACAACTTCTAAAATTTAAACTAAAAATGTTTAGCTCTTAATGTCGACCTTGATCACTTGACCAGAATCACCACTAAAGCAAAACCTTATTAAAGGGAAATGAAAAAAGATTACCGGGAGAGATTTCGAAGGATATTAAAGGTCAACTTGTGGTCACGCTAAATTAACGTTGGGTAACATCTAAAGAAACAAGCCTGAAATTTAATTAGATACTCCTTCTCTTTGCACTTTGCCAAGTAATTAATCCTCTCAAATGGTTTAAGTTGCAAGCGGGAATGATTTGATTGCCATAGCCGATATGGAATTACCAAAGTGCGCTCCGATCATTGGATGTCATTTTACAATTCTACATTCGTGAACAATACATGTAGTGCATCATCGAACTTCGCAACTTAAGTTGCATCATTAAAAGGTTTAAAGTACAAAAAAAAAAAAAAATTTTAAAGCATTTTGCGACATGATCTGTCCGTTGCATGGAGCTTGCCTAGTGCGTCTTATCCCTTCGTATGATTGACGGACAATTATACCGGACGAAATTTATCCAACGCATACTCTCGAATGGCGATTGCGGTCCCTTATCAACAAAAATATGAGACATGATCCGTTCAAGATTCAAATTCAATGCATTTACACCTATATGTATATGTACAACCTGGCGAACAAATTAAGCGGTGATCAACTGGCCATGGCCCTTCTGCACCCACCGCTTTTGTTGCGGATGCTAATAGTTGCCATTGTGGGGGATGCTACACAAAAGTCTAAATTTTCCGAATCATTAGAGTGTCAACTTGTCACGCCTCAAAGCCATCCGACACTTAATTTTGATGCACAAATCGACAGATTGATGATGGCGATGCGGAACCAAAGAAACAAAAAAAGATATAAAGAAAAAGGCAGATGATGGCGATGCACAGTACTAGAATTAATGCGATGCAATTATTGGTGGGACAAATCTAAACTATAGAAGGAAGAGTCTCATTTCTCATTTTTAATAGATTGTTTGTTTAAATGCTGAAAAGAATTCGTTTCTTGCATACTAGTGGAAAATTATACAACTCTCCATCCTTTATTATCTTCTAGGTATGTCCAATACTACCATGCCTTTGTCATGATGGATGTAAATACATCATATATCCTCAAGTCCATTATATATTACGTGATCTTGAAAAGGTTACTTATTCTTTATATATATATATATATATATATATATATATATTTTACGTGATCTTATGATTCAAGATTTTTAATTTATAATCTCTCCTATCTTACCATCAGGCATATCAATGGATCGAATCTTATCTATATCCAACCCAAACCCAATGTACTTAGGTAGGGTTTAGATTTAATTTCTCAAATCTAAATCCTACCCAAATCCAGATCATGTAAAAGAGTTATGGGTCTGGATAGGGTATAATTTTCTATGATCCATATCTAAATCCAAACTCATACCAGATTCTACCCAAATATATATATATATATATAATTATATATATTAGTAAATTTATAAAATATTATAATATTCTCTGGTTATCGGATCAAATATAATAAGATTTCATGATTTTTTTTCCAACCTGATCCTAATTGTCATTATAATTAGTACAAACTTTTTCAGAAAAATGAGATAAAGTAAAGACAAATAAATTAAAGATTTGACGTAAATACAGTTGAAGTTTTAAAAATAAATAAAAATAGTCGATAATAGTTATTTTTTTAGTTCATAATATTGCATTCAACTTCTTGAATATTGATTTTATTATTTGAAAATAAAAATTGGATGGTATTTATATATTTTTTTGAAATCCATATATTTGTAATATAGATTTTTATTTTAGAACGTTTACAACATACAACGGATATCCATTGAATACATAAATCCACGAGGATCTGAATTTGAATTTTTTTTGTTCAGACCCATAAGGATTTGGATCTAACTAAATTTAATGAGTTTAGATCTAAATCAAAAGCATCCAATCCAAACCCTACCATTGACATGCTTACTTACCATCAAACCCTTCCCAAAAAGGATTACCTTAAACATAAGGCATGCTAGATTAGGTAAGTTCCTCCAGATGCCTTCCGAAAATATACATCTTTGACAGGGACCGCGACTTCTCATGCATTTGCTCGCTAAAGTTATATGGCGAGTGGCGACATATGGTTTCTTAGATCAACCGTGAAAAAGCACTACCCCTAGGGTGGATTTATCTTCACAAAATAATGAACAGTATGAATTAATCATTGCATCTATAAAGATTCAAGAATTATAGGTTTCCGTTCTGAAGTCACCCAGCCGTCACCAGAAAAAGTATGGGGAGTGGGGGTTAGAAAAAAGAAAAGAAGATTCCTGTAAGTTTTGCTGTGTAAGATCTAAAGGACTAATAATTTATGGCTGCTGTGACATGGTCACATACAATGGAGCTGAAGATTTGGAGGATGCATTGATATGAAAGATCTCCATGTACAACTGGAAAACTGAAAAGTTCAAAAATTTGTTCATTTTAAACAAAACCCTAATGAAAGATTGAGATTAAAGAATCATCAATATCAAAATTCAGTGGATCGGATCATTCATGTTACTATCTGACAGATGATTTTCTAACACTGCAGTAAATAGAAATTCATGACATAGCTAAGGATTCCAGAAATAAGTGTTTGGACCAGAGAGATTTGAAATAAAAAAATTTATTTCACAAATTCCAATCACCTTTTTATCTCACGTACATCACATCACAAAAAATATTACAGTAATTATTTCAAATAAATCATCCAAATAAACTCCTATCCAAACAATAATTATTGCGCGTCAAGGCTTCTAATGCATTCTCAAAATGTTAATGCTAAACTTTTTTTTTTCTTAGAAAATGGGGAAAAAAAAGAGAGAGAAAATACTTGCACCACCTACTCATAATCTTCGATGTGACACACAATTTCTTTCTTAATCATTACCTAGTACCCACAGGCTACCTCAAAACAAGTCATTACTCAAATCCAAACCACCGACAACTTTCATGATATTATTGCATGTGATATGATGTGTCCAAACCTATAGAGTATAAACATCACCAACGGAAGAAAGTTACTTTGAAATAAAATATAGGATTTGATTAACGCTATAAAATTTATTAAAATATTAGTTTTTAATTAAAAAAATCATTATGGTAAGAAAGTGTTCGCATTGAAGGAGTATAATACATGTGAGTGTCTGTATAAGTATAATAAAACAACGTGTATCGAATAATATTCGTTTAGAAAAATCCTAAAATGTAACTAAAAGGGTACTACAAGAACTTTAGTTAATTAATTAATTAATTAACTAGTGATTAGTAGATGATCGTATGGTTTTATCACTTATTTTGCTCAAGGCGTCTGTCCCTTTAAAAGGGGCACGTGTGTAATATGAGCGAGGGGAAAGAACCTTCGGAATCTTTTTTGACCTTTTATCACTCGATACTCAGTAAGTACTTGATAACCCCACCCCAAGTCGCCTGGGACTCCTCTCACCGTCTCCAACTTGACTCCCATTAGTTCTTTCAGATCCAAATCCCAGAAACCTCTCTGGAGAACTCTTGAAATTGTTCATAGAAATCAATGCTATGTAGATAAATAGTAGGGAGTTTTAAGCACACATTGTTAGGATGTAAGGAGGATAGAACTGGTTCATAGATTTGGATTTGATGATTGTGGACAAGATGCTTGATTCAATGCCGAAAAGGGTTCCAAAAAGGGTCTGGCTTGGGTTCCAAATGTCAATGGGATTACTCGTGGGTGGAAATCACACCTCTTCCAGGTTTTGTACTCGCTAAGTATTTTATTTTTACATTTCTGTTGGCTTCAATTTCAATATTACTGATTTTGTGAACTGCAACTCCAAAATCACAACTTTAGCTGCACGCACTTTGATTCCTGATTGATTTATCTAGATCTGAGGTAGAAAACTCTGAAAGGCCTTGTCTTTGGGATAATTGGGACAAAAGAAAAGATGGATTTGACGGTCTTGAAATGGCAAATGCTACGTGGGACTTTAATGAAACGTATGTTTGTTAAGGCATTTGCGTTAGGGTCTGCTCTGCTTGTGCTTTCCATTATACAGATGACCCATGATGCTCGAAAAATGGAGCCAATTTTGCTGAACTTGGATGCATGCCCACTGAACTTTGGCTCTAGCGAGTATTACAATGTCAGCAAGTTTTCAAATCCCCTTTCGGTTCTTAGGTTTTCTCTTTATGGGGGTTTTAAGATGCTTAGCAAAGAGACTGAAAACTTGGCTAATAATGTTTTCAAGGAGCTTATGGGGAAGAATTTGCTGGATCCTAATTCGAAAACTTTGTGTGTTGGGGAGGGTTCTGCCTCTGCTGTATCAGCTCTGCGAGAGCTGGGTTTCCGACATGCTGTTGCTGTTGGTAGCCACCCATCTTTCTCACTTCTAAAACGGAGATTTGTTTGTGAGCTCGACTTTGCGGATAATTCCTTCGATTTTTTGTTCTCGAGAGCTCTTGATGGGGTATCTGTGCCAGCTCTTATCGTGCTTGAGATTGAGCGTGTTTTACGTCCAGGTGGCATTGGTGCTATGCTTGTTGGTGCCCATGACTTCTACTCTGGAAGCCTGATTAGGTCTGCCACACCAGTTTCATTATATTTAAAGAGTTCTGAAATCATACATGTGTGTGGTGTTGGCTCAAATGCTCTAGTCATCTTTAAGAAAAGATTTGAAAATGCTGCTTTCTTTGAGCAATTTCAACTTCCAAATGAATGCCCTGCCATCACAAATAACAAACCATTTATGAAGTTCATTGAGCCCCTAACGGATGAAAAATCACTACATACCAAGAGGGAAGTTTCTTATCTGCCCAAGTTTTTGAATACTTCAACAAGGAACAGACTCATTTACATCAATGTTGGTGCAGACGAATCCACAAACCTGAGTATTTATGAGCTGTTTAAACCTTATAGTTCATTTGGTAAACGAGCATTCAGTGTATTTTTGATGGATCATAACACTTCTGTCCTGTCTTCTCACATCAAAACTCCTGGTATCACTTTTATTTACCATCCAGGCCTCGCAGGAGAAAATGCTGCTCCGGAACTGGACTCTGATGAGTACTTGAGTGCTCCAATGGATACAGAAGGGTTTGACTTTGCTCGCTGGTTTAAAGAAACAGTGGAAGATGATGATTTTGTGGTCCTTAGGATTAACACAAGAACACTGAAGTTGAACATTCTTGGTGAATTGTTCAAAACTGGAGTAATATGCCGCGTTGATGAACTTTTCCTCCAGTGCTCAGAGTCGCTAGACTGCAAAGGTGCCATTTGTGAAGACTGCATGAGTCTTTTCAGAAGTCTCAGAAATTCTGGTGTGTTTGTTCATCAGTGGTTGGGGGACTGAAGCTCATGAAACATTTGCTCATTTCCATATATCATTTCAAAGTTACTATGTAAAATAAATCGAGGAAAGTTTGTGGATTAGATTTCTGATCTACAACTCTTTCCTTTGAACTGTTATTTACTAGTGTTTCAAGTGTGAGATCTTATCCTCTAGGTTATGGAGGATCTTTAATTTATTGAATGTAAAATAAATTGAGGAGAGTGTGTGGGTTGATAATCAGCCACTCTCTTCCATGTCACTGTTTTGTATGTCTTTGGGAGTTTTCATGTATCAGTACTAGACTCCTTTATGTTATGAAGGGTATTGAATTTATCTTCGTCTGCCAACTGGTTAAGATATGGCAGAGTTGACTTTGAAGTGGCTACCGGAACATGAATCCTGTGAGGATAACATAATGGTCTGCCTTATTATCGATAGCTGCGGAGTAATGTAAATACATAAATTTGCATTGGCTTTTAACGCCATCTGCGGGCTTGTGGTGGTAACGTGAGTTGCTGGAAGTGACTGTACTCAAACCTAGGGCTTCATTTGGAGTAACGTGAGTTGATTTTCCTTTGTCTTTGTCTGTGAGTTTTTAGTAAGAAAGAAATGAAAGGAAATCGGACGATGAATCGTAGGCAAAATTTTTCCTCCCAAATTGGAGAGAAATTTGGAGGAGACCTGTGAAATTTTTTTAAAATACCTATTTTATCCTTAAAAAGGTTTTGAACAAATATTTAATGACTTTATATTCAAAATTATTCCACTAATTTTCAAAACTCCCAAACAACGTAACAATCCCTTCTATTCTCTTCTCTTCTCTCATAACTAAAGTTTTCCCTTCTTCTCTTTTCTATCCTAAACTCCCAAACTAAGCCTTAGTACTGCTATTTTCTGCATCTTTCTGCATGTTGTATTCCGGCTGTTTCATTATTGTAAATTCCTACTGGATCTGGTTTGGCTAATTATCAAGGCCGTATCATTTGTAGAATGGTAGCATGTTTGCCAGGACAAAACATTTTATGGTATCAATATATATGGGGAGGTCCATAGTACCTTTGGGACCCGTACTAATGAGTATCAATTCACTGTTGAATGTTTGACAGCATTTAATTGACAAGAAATAACCCTGTGGGGCAGCAACACCTCTTAGATCTGCTCCAATGAGGCTCCTAAGTGGGGGAATCAGCAGCATTCAAACGTGTTCAACAGCATCTATAGCACTTATTGAATCAAGAAAAGAGTTTGTAATTACTACTATGCATCTTTGGCATGAACTTGCCGCCATCCTATGCAGGCAAATGGAACGGGTGAATCCTGCTGTCAAGAAAAATGAGGCTGCAATATATGACGCTGACTGACATCCTGGTGAACTGAAATTCATCTGCTCCTTGCGAACAAATTAAATTTCTCTCTTCTATCTGTGCAACTTCTTGAGCAAAGTGGCTACAGTTTCCTTCAATATCCGGTTGCTCTATCTTCCATCAGATCATTATAACTGGCCCTTCAGATATTACCGCTTTATTTTAGTCAAAAATTAAGATAGAAAGCCTTGGTACAGCAATTCATTATTAGCTCATCTAGTATATGTACATTTTGCATTTTCTGTTAGGAAACTCTCTGATGCGCCAAAGCGCAAAAAGAGAAATCCTCATTGCTTCCAATTTCGTGCCTTGGACTGCACGCAAAAGACCATCCATTATTATCTGCTGTTGAACAACCAACAAATGTTCTTGGATCTTGCCAAGTTCATGTATGGCCGAAGATGAGCGAAAAAAATGCATAGAAATCCAACATATACTCTTTGATGATCAACGTAGAAGACCGTCTTCATCCTCGGATGCAGGGCCCTCAAATTGATCTTCCTCACGTGATGAAAAAGTCAACGGCCCAAAAGGCCCAAAACTTATCAGCGGCAGTGGTTTTTTTTTTTTTTTTTCGATACGATATACCTACAATTATTCTATGTTACGGAGAGGGGAGGACCTGAAGAGGTCAAGGAGAAATCGGAGGGGACTGAACTATTTACCGGCCCAGACGAGTGCACCAAGCACTCGTCTAATAGAGCACTTGTCTGGAAGCCACTTGAAGTGGCTTGTCACATTTTGTGGTCAATGGTGGGAGGCAGTGTTTGATCCCCTGACTTTCCACTCCACCAACTTTGGTGGTAGCGTGACTCAAAACAACATAAATCTTTTGCTTCAACTTTTAGGTTATCTACGTGTATACCTGGGCTTAATCACGCTTTCCAATGCAAACATGACCTGTCTTTAAAGTTTTGATGTGGAACTCAGTAACTTTATTACTGGCATTATTTTTTAAATGCACGATCAAAGGCGTCAAGTTTCTGCTGTATCGAACCGAGCTGCTCGTGATAAAAAAATTTGACTTGGACTCGGGTTGATCGAGTTCGAGTCGAATTCAAATAGCTCGATAAGTTGAGCAAATCGTATTCGAGTATCCAAATGGAATGTTCAAAAGTTTGTCAAGTTTTATCTAGTTTTTTAAATTTTAATTCTCTAATATATTATTATTATGAAATTATCCTTATGCTTAAAAGAGTGGTTGAAGTTACGAAATATTTCAGGTCGTACGAAATTTTTTAAAGGGCAATAATGTCTTTTAGCTCAAAATTTGTAAAAAAAAAATGAAAATTTCTGACTTGAACTCGATAAGGCTCGTGTAAGTCCCAAAGACAACCAAGAGGGGGGGGGTGAATTGGGTTGATTAAAATCTTAACCAAATTTATGCACTTTTTCTTTAATAAAAATTTACCTTCTTTTCTAGTAATGATCAACCAAGTAGATTAGAAGACAAGAGCAATATTGATCAGAAACACAAGTATAGACAAGCAATGAGAATTTTATTAAACAGAAAAGTAAATTAGGGAATCAAACGAAGTGTCTACCAAGCTATCCTCAAACTTGAAGACCACACACTAGGAAGAGCAACTTCTCTTAGATGAAAGAAGATCAACTAGATGTACAATGGAGGGAGCACTTCTTCCTTGCCCTAAGCCTCACTTAGTCAAGCTAAGAAGTTTTACAATCACTCAGAAAAACCCTCAACAAAGCTACACTAAAGATCCTTTCAGTCACAAAAGAAATGCTCACCAGAAATTCACACCACTTTAAAACAAATCTTGCTTTGGAGACTATTTTCTAGCTAAAATATCTCTTGAGATCTTGTAAACAAAGTGTGCAAAAGTCCTTCCTTCGTTCAGAACAGTTTGCTTTTAAAGGGGAAGAAAAATGGGCTTCATTAAAGCTTCCAACGAATAGAAGGCAGATGAAGGGTCAGCTAGCCGTTGGGGCTTTCGGACGTCCGACGATCAAATCATCGTCCGAACCAAACGTCCGAAAACCGCCAAGTTGAAGTTCGGACGTCCGATGAGATTTTTGTCGTCCGACAGCACAGTGTCCGATCGTAGGCCGAGAGTTAGCAAGTTATCTTGGAATTTTTCGGACGTCCGATCTGGTTGATATGCGTCCGAGGTGTGCGTCCGATCCTTCTGGACGTCCGACAGTTTCCTTTCGGCCGTCCGACCTGATTGTCCTGTTTTTGCTTCTCATTTTGGTTGTCTTGCATTTCATGACATATTTGAACCTGATTCTTGGATAGACAAAAACACTTGTATTTGAAGGAGGTTAGATAAACATTTCAAAGTACCAAGAATGACAAACTAGACATACTTAAAAGACAGTATCTTTGATCGGAACAAAACAATGACTAAATTCGTTTATATTATTTCAATCTTGTTTGCCACATCCAAAGCATCGTAGACTGGAGTCAATCAAACATATGCTTTCCTTGTTCCATCAGGCCTGATCAATCTTGGTCAGTATAAACGAACTTTTGTGATCATCAAAACCAAGAATAACATTCTCCCCCTTTTTGATGATGACAAAACAAAAGTTTGAAATGAAATTTTATGATTGCAATGAAAACTCCCCCTTTCAAAATAGACAAGAACTCCCCCTGTCTTAGTGAATCACAAAATTTGAAAATTTTGAAAAACTCCCCCTCACAAGGCTGCCCATCCGAGTTAAACAATTAAGCATATCAGCCAATCCAAATTTAAACAATCAATCCAACATATCCTAACATCACCAATCATCAATCATGCCAACATCACCAATTATCAATCATCACTCAATCCAATCATTTGATACCATCTCCCCCTTTTTGTCATCACAAACGGGCAACCAATCACATCAACACATCCACAAATTCACAAATTTAGACAAGTTCACACATCAAAACTTAGACCATCAATCAGAATAGACAATCCACAAATTCATTACATTCATATATTCATTGTTGAATACCACAAACACATAAAAGAGACAAACAAAATGCAAATGTCCTAAATGATGAACTAAGTGGATCCAGGTGTCCTCCGAGAGAGCTGATATTGATCAAGATCCTCCTCTTCAGTTTCTTCATCATCTTCAGCAGCCATCTTCAACTGGTGCCTTGCCTTTATCTGATGTAGAGGTGCCATGAGGAGTCACAGGGGTTGAAGAACCAGGATCCGGAATTGATGAACTTGGATCAGTGGGGTGTGACTCTTTGTCATGGGAAACTTCCTCAACAACAGGGGGGGAAACAGGAGGTTCTTTTTGTCTAGGAAGGCAGTTTGTTGCTCAGAGGACATAGTGAGCATTAGACCATGTTCTAGAAGAAGAACATGCTGTTTGAGTTCACGAAGGAGCTCAATTACTTCATCACTGGAAGAGGAAGATGCCTTAGAGGCAGATTTCCTAGGATGAATGGGAGTGAGTGGAATAGATGAAGGATCATGTGCAGCCTTAGACCTAAGTTCACTAGATGATGCACCCTTATAAGCCCACAGATTATCTTTAAAAACAAGATTTTTCCTTTCAAAATACCCTTTTGTAAAGGCATAAGAAGATGCTTCTTTAGGACAAACACCTAGAATAGGGACTTTGTAAAACTCAAAAATCTTTTGAAGAAACTTTCCATAAGATAATTTTCTGCGAGAATCAGTGGCATAGCGA